CATGTCTTTGAAAGGTCGGCTGTCGTGTTTACACACTCGACTCGGGCAAAGCAGTGAAAATCGGCGAACCTATCGACCGATGGGCTATTTTGAAGGTGACCGGGGCCTAGGCTATAAAAGGGCCCGATCGGCTCGGCTAGCCTGTTCGTGGATCCGTCTCTTGTGAGCTGTTCCAAATTGCAGCTGAAGAGCATCTGAATCCGCTCAATTTTGCTCAATCAATATGGTAAGTTGCCGCCTCACTACTTTATCTAAGTTCTCACCTTTGCGTAAGGCTTGCTTGGAGGCTCGACTTCTCGGCACAGACCTTATCGCCGAGACTTCTTGGTAGGCGTGGCAATATGTGATTTAGACGTTATTTTTATCCTCTTCTCTAGAGAGAATGTATCAGCATTCATGTTGGTCAGGCCGGCGTCCAAATTGGCAACGCCTGTTGGGAGCTGTACTGTCTGGAGCACGGAATTCAGCCCGATGGCCAGATGCCGAGCGACAAGACAATTGGAGGTGGCGACGACTCCTTTAACACTTTTTTCAGCGAGACTGGTGCAGGTAAGCATGTTCCTCGAGCCGTCTTCATCGACCTTGAGCCGACCGTCGTCGACGAGGTGCGCACAGGCACGTATCGCCAACTCTTTCATCCGGAACAACTGATCACCGGCAAAGAGGATGCTGCCAACAACTACGCGCGGGGGCATTACACCATTGGCAAGGAGATTGTGGACCTTGTGCTTGATCGGATTCGAAAGTTGGCCGATCAGTGCACAGGATTGCAGGGATTCCTTATCTTCCATTCATTCGGTGGAGGCACGGGATCTGGTTTCACTTCACTGCTGATGGAACGACTCTCCGTCGACTACGGAAAGAAGTCAAAACTCGAGTTTTCAGTCTATCCAGCACCACAGATTTCTACTGCTGTAGTAGAGCCGTACAACTCCATCCTGACCACCCACACCACGTTGGAGCACTCAGATTGCGCCTTCATGGTGGACAATGAAGCGATCTATGATATTTGCCGGTTAGTACTATTTTGTAACTTATTAATATCATACTACTCAAATATAAAGTAAATAGTAATTCTGTTTTTTTTAATAAACCTCAGCCGCAATCTGGACATCGAGAGGCCGACCTATACCAATTTGAATCGATTGATCGGCCAGATCGTCAGTTCTATCACCGCCTCTCTTCGTTTTGACGGCGCGCTTAACGTTGACATCACAGAGTTTCAAACCAACTTAGTGCCATATCCTCGCATTCACTTTCCCCTGGCCACGTATGCGCCCACTGTCTCTGCTGAAAAGGCCTATCACGAACAGTTGAGCGTAGCTGAGATCACCAATGCCTGTTTCGAACCTGCCAACCAAATGGTCAAGTGTGATCCTCGACACGGTAAATACATGGCCTGCTGTATGTTGTATCGGGGCGATGTTGTGCCAAAGGATGTGAACGCGGCGATTGCCACAATTAAGACGAAGCGAACAATTCAATTTGTCGACTGGTGTCCCACCGGATTCAAGGTGGGCATCAACTACCAGCCCCCCACTGTAGTGCCAGGCGGCGACTTAGCCAAGGTGCAGAGAGCGGTCTGTATGTTGAGCAATACGACTGCAATAGCAGAAGCCTGGGCCCGTCTTGATCACAAATTTGACCTGATGTACGCAAAACGTGCATTTGTGCACTGGTACGTCGGTGAAGGTATGGAGGAGGGCGAATTTTCAGAGGCTCGGGAGGATTTAGCTGCTCTTGAAAAGGACTATGAAGAGGTCGGCGCTGACAGTGTGGAAGGAGAAGGTGAAGAAGAGGGTGAAGAGTATTAATCGACTATCAGAACTAAAGGTGGACAGAAAAGTGGGATACTACCAGAACAATAACCTCCTCCACCAAATAGAATAGGATGCAACCCAATTCCCTCGCCAAAGTGCACATGGCTTATTACAGTCTTCAATCTGCATATGCATATGCCCCTGTTTGCGCCATCTTGTTGAGTAACAAGGCTGTTTGTGTACTTGTGCAGGCGTTAATGTGTGAATGCGTGAATGCGTATGTTTGAGCCTGCTTGTGCATTTGTATGAGGATTGGTGAAGAAAGCATTGACTTAATTTGCGTAAAATTAAACGATAAATGAATCACTATGATGCCCGACTTTGTCTTTCTTCTCTGTCATCGAGATGGGAACAGTCTGATACCACCTCGATCAAGGGGTAGGCCATTAATCGTCGTGTCATTTTGTAGCATTCGCAGTATTCCTGGCCCCGGTCAAATATGCACAAAAAAGATAAAAATAGGCCTAAAGAGGCCACTGAGTTTTGCGTAGCCTTTAGTTGGACTGGAAAACATGTATTTGCCTACAGAGTTTGTAGACTTTGAAACCTTAGTATGGAACTTGAATCACCATTAATCACTGAAGGTGCAAGGTCGGTTCTGCCATCCAGCCCAAATGAGAAACTCCTTTGGGGGACGGCGTAGGATGAAATTAAAGGGCACTGAGATCTTCTGTACGTTCGCTCGTGGGCAATCTCGCAACAGCCCCTAGATCACATTAAACAAACTAGGCTGGAAGCTAGTCACTTGGTATATAGTTGGTGTATGGAAATATTGGATGGCCCAAAAAAACAAAGCCAAACTGAGGCAAAGGGTCGGTGGCGATGCTCCACGTCCAGCTCCGCTCTAATGAAGCTCTAATGTGTCATCACTGCAAATCTGAAACCGTTTTTAACAAGTTCTCCCATTCGTAGGGTGCGTGTCACATGACTGAGTGAGATTCTGATCAAATGCTAATGGCATGTAGGACTACATAATGAGGCTTTCTTG